AATTGTCTTGTTTATGGTACAGTTGATTAAGACGCGTTAATTACAACTTTATGCGCAAACTTATGAATCAAAGTTTAATTTCGATACTTAAGATTGATCCTAATCATAAATGTGAAGTATGTGCTGAAGCGAAGTTGGCCAAAACATCTTTTCACTCAGTTCAAAGGAACATGACACCTTTAGAGTTAATACATAGCGATATATGTGATTTGAAATTCATTCAAACTAAAGGTGGTAAGAAATACTTTATAACTTTCATTAATAATTGTACAAAATATTGTTATGTTTTTTTACTACGAAGTAAAGATGAAACCTTAGATGTATTTAAACATTTTAAGATAGAAATTGAGAATTAACTTGGTAAACAAATAAAAAATATTCGTAGTGATAGAGGTGGTGAATACGGGTCACCATTTGACGAATATTGTTTCAAGTATGGAATTTTTCATCAAACAACAGTATTTTACTCACCCCAATCGAATGGTGTTATTGAACGCAAAAATCAAACTCTTAAAGAGATGAACAAAATGTTGATAAGTTCAGTTTTAACCCAAAACATGTAGAGGGAAGCTATTTTATCGGTAGATAGTATTCATAACAAGACACCCCTTAAAAAAATGGAAAAAATAACTCCATATGAATTATGGAAAGGTCATCATCCTTTCTACCAACACTTGAAAGTGGGGGAGGGGGCGTTTGGCTAAAGTTGAACTACCTAAACCTAAACAAGTGAAAATCGATTCTAAGATGATTGATTACATATTTATGGGACTACCAACACTTGAAAGTGGGGGAGGGGGTGTTTGGCTAAAGTTGAACTACCTAAACCTAAACAAGTGAAAATCGATTCTAAGATGATTGATTACATATTTATTGGACACGCCAATAACAGTAGTACATATCGTTTCCTTGTATATAAATTTCAAGACGTCCATGAAGAATCATAATTGAATCGAGAAATGCATCATTCTTTAAAAATGTTTTTCCATGTAAAGACAAGAAAAATACAAATTCAAATAAAAGAACTTATGATACTACAAATGACACTTCAAATTAGGAAGAAACAAGGCGTATAAAAGGGTTATAATATCTACTTCGTTTGGCCCTATTTTTAAACCTATATAGTAGAGAATAATCTAAAGACTGTCTACACTGGAAGCACCACATTGGAAAGAAGCTATCAACGATGAGATAAATTCTATACTGCAAAATCATATTTGGGAGTTAATTGATTTACCTCCAAGAAATAAGTATTTAGGGTGTAAATGGATCTTCAAAAGGAAACTAAAACCTGATGGATCAATTGACAAATATAAGGCTAAATTGGTACCAACACTTGAAAGTGGGGGAGGGTGTGTTTGGCTAAAGTTGAAGTACCTAAACCTAAACAAGTGAAAATCGATTCTAAGATGATTGATTACATATTTATTGGACACGCCAATAACAGTAGTACATATCATTTCCTTGTATATAAATTTCAAGACGTCCATGAAGAATCATAATTGAATCGAGAAATGCATCATTCTTTAAGAATGTTTTTCCATGTAAAGACAAGAAAAATACAAATTCAAATAAAAGAACTTATGATACTACAAATGACACTTCAAATTAGGAAGAAACAAGGCGTATAAAAGGGTTATAATATCTACTTCATTTGGCCCTATTTTTAAACCTATATAGTAGAGAATAATCTAAAGACTGTCTACACTGGAAGCACCGCATTGGAAAGAAGCTATCAACGGTGAGATAAATTCTATACTGCAAAATCATATTTGGGAGTTAATTGATTTACCTCCAAGAAATAAGTATTTAGGGTGTAAATGGATCTTCAAAAGGAAACTAAAACCTGATGGATCAATTGACAAATATAAGGCTAGATTGGTTGCTAAGAGATTTAGATAAAAGGAATGATTTGACTTATTTGATACCCACTCACTTGTAACTAGAATCACTTTGATAAGGTTGTTAATTGTAAATGCAATATTACATAACCTTGAGATTTATCAAATGGACGTAAAGATGTCATTCCTAAATGGTAAGTTAGAAGAGGAGATATACATGAAACAATCTGAAGGGTTCGTATTTCTTAATTACAGACAAAAGGTTTGTAAACTATTTAAGTCCTTGTATAGATTGAAGCAATCTTAAAACAATGGCACCAAAAGTTTGGCAAAATGATGTTGTCCAATGGATTTAAGATAAACGAGTGTGACAATGGTGTATATATAAAACATACACTAAAAGCCTATGTGATTGTATGTCTATATGTAGATGACATGTTCATAATGACCAATAGTCACGAAATAATGCTAAACACCAAAAGAATGCTAACAAAACATTTTGATATGAAAGACTTGGGTGTTGCTGACGTGATATTAGGGTTAAAGATCTCTAGAATAGCGGAATGAATTATACTTTTAAAATCTCACTATATTGAAAGTATACTTAAAATGTATAATGCACTTGAAGAAAGTCCTGTAAAGACCCCCATTAACACAAGTTTACACTTAGTAAAAAATACGGGTGAATGTGTGTTACAACTAAAGTATTTACGTCTAGTCTAACGTATATTACAAACTACACTCGATCAGACATAGCATTTATTGTAAATAAACTTAGTAGATTCATAAGTAATCTAAGTCATGATCATTTGAAGACTTTAACAAGGATTTTTAGGTACTTCAAGTATACATTAACCTATGGATTACACTTCACAAAATATCCCCCGGTATATGAAGGATATTGTAATGCACATTGGATATTCAACATGAAAGATTATGAGTCTACTAGTGGTTATGTTTTAACCATTGATGGAATTGCTGTAACATGGAAGTCGACAAAGCAAATGTGTATAGTTCGATCAACGATGAAATCAGAGTTTATTGCTTTGGACAAAACTGTAGAAGAAGCAGAATTGTTTCGTAACTTTTTCGAAGATATTCCATGTTGGCCTAAACATTTACCTGCAATAAATATATATTGTAATAGTCAATTGGGTATTGAAAGGGATCAAAACAACATATATAATGTTAAGTCTAGACATATACGTCATAGACACCATTAAACGACTGATCTCTAAGGGTATCATCCCCGTAGATTATGTAAAGTCAAAGGAGAACAACGCGAATCCACTTACGAAAGGTTTACCTAGGGATCAATTAAGTTACCTATCGAAATGAATGAGATTAAAGTTTACTACGTAATATTCTTTGTAATGTTAACCCTATCTTGTTGACTGGAGATCCCAAGATCTTGATCCAAAGGGACACTAAGTTATGAAGATTCAATGAAACACTTGAGAATTTTTTTTCCTAACTCATTTCTATGATAATTAAAGTGCATTCCACATAATGTTAAATGTTAAGATATGCTTTTAATGATTCCTATATCTTGATTAATACAAGTGAATTGGGCAAAGTACTCTGAATAGAAGGTTACCTATGTAAGTGTGAAGTGAGACAACCTCAACGAAAATTGTTCAAGGTTGAAATTTTCTAAACACTTATGAAAGTCAAGAGTGGTTCATGGCCAATATAAACCAAATCATGAGAACCATGAACGACTTAAGAAAGACATTTGTGTAAGTATTGTAATCTTGGTTTACACCAATGACTGATTGGTTCAAGACATCACGTTTACCAATTAGTCAAGTTCAAGGCCAGAAAATACCTTACCTGATGCAGTATTTTTCTGATCCCCCTCTACGATGTATCATATTTTCATAGCATGAACATATTTGAATTTCTATTTAGGTTGGGATTGTTGAAATTTGGTTTAAAGATTGAAAATTTGATTAAGTATAAAATTTGAAATATGACTTTGTGTCACTTCGATCAAATATTCGGACTTAATATGATATTCAAATTATAAATATAAATATGCTAACTTGTTTTACTCGTCGAGTAGATCGTTGTGATATATTTGAAATCTCAAAACCATTTCTGAATGAATGAGAAATTGCGATTCAAAGTTGAAATTGCGGATGAATGAGAAATTGCCTAACTCCATTGCTCGCCTAGCGCTTGAGCGGTGAGGTTGTTGCTCGAGCGACAGGCAGACGAAAAAGTTTATGTTGAACAGGTGTGACTCTCGTTCTAGCGAGGGGTTAACAACAGCAAAAGATGCTTCCCTTTGAAAATGTTGCTGAGTTTGAGACGTGACACTTCATTCACAACCTCTCCTCTTTTATAAAAATGACTCTTTGAACTTCAATTATGCATCACATGTCATTTGCATTGAGCATTATATAAAAAACTCTCCAAAAATCATTTTTTTGTAAAGGAGAGAATTTCGTTCGAGTTCGTTGTTGCTTGTGGTTTGAACTGCTTCTACCACAAGTTGTATCCGTTATATTTTGGAGACAAGTGCCGTAATTAGTTGGTACCGTTGTGGGGCAATTTTGTCTTAACGAAATATTGTTAATCACTTGTCTCGAATTTCTTTTCATCTACTTTCTTTCTTTTATCTTAGTTTACATATAATTTAATTACGCTCCTGCGAATTAAACTTAAACTATTTCTTTGTCATTTAAATAAACAAACATTTCTCTATACAATATCAACAACACAAATAACATGATTGAAAACTCAAATTGTGCTCACATGAGGATGACTTGTAATGAGGACTTTTTCATTGAACTCATAGCATTTGAAGTTTAAAATCAACTATTTCCAACCAACACCTTAACCGCTTTGACGGCTTCCATATTCTTTTATTCTTCAAGAAGCATTTGCAAATATATATTTTAACCCTTGCACAACAATCAGGGATGTCCACGCTCTAAACTTGGGAGGAATGTTCTATCCAAACTCACACCTAAAGATGCCTTGTTCTGGCAACTTGTTATAGACCCCAAGAACGGGAGGAGATTTTGAAAGAAAACATAATGTTAGGAAATACTCCAATTTATATCGTGCTGCAACTCACAGCCTAAAAGACAAAGAAGCAAGTAAAGCCTAATGACAATATATCCCACCTGAGATGGGTCTGTTAGGAGCAGGTTATTGCGTTCTGTTTCCTTTATGCCCCTTGCATTTATTTTCGTCTGCTGTAGTTCTTGTTCCAGAGGCCATTGTCTTGCTATTCCTTGTTTTGGTGTTCCCAAATTTGAGAGCAACAACAGGCTTAATGTACAATAGTCCAGGAAAGTGTCTTTTCTCTTTCGGAAGTGCTCGTAACTGGGTTAACCAGTAAGCCACAAATTCTCCTTCAGGATCATAATTCTGCGCCTGAACATATTATATAGCATTAGGTAAACCAAAAATGTTCTTTGTTAGTTCACCTAAAAATATATAAACAAGAATTATTAAATTTTGAAAACAAAACTTCTGCAAGTAAAGGATAGAGGAGTTGTGGAGTTCGGCTAGTCTTGGAATAAGCACATTCAAAAACCAAAGTTGGTGTGTAGAAGAAGATGAACCTCCAAACTTTTTAGATGAGGTGATCATCAATTACTTTACTTCTGCATGACATGAAAGACTTCCAAACCTCCTAAAATTCTTAATCCAAACTTTTAGGTTTTATTAAGTTCCTAACCTTGAGCTGCTAAGTTAGCTGAAAGCCGATATAGATATATTCTATCTATAATGTTAAGATACATCGAGATTTTTCTATCCCAGCATACCAAACTTTCGCATTTCTCTTGTAGCATTCCCATCGATGCATATTATTCTTCAGTTTTGCATAAGAAAACGAGATAGGAAAGCAGCCAGCTAGTATTACTGTAACTGAAACTAATTTTCTGGCAAACTAAATATTAATCACTTACCTGCTTTGGAATGCTGAAGTAGCGATCCTCTCTTGGGTCATTCCCAACACCTTTAAAAGGAAGGCAATGATGTTAAAATATTCAAGATCCTAGTTCTCAGTTCCAAATACAAAAAGGGAAAAAATGAATAAATGCATGATATTAAGGAGGACAGAATACATGCACCTAAGGAAACTCAAGATTCTACAAATTTTGATGTCAAGATCAGCAATGTGGTCATTGATTTTTTCAAGCCATTAACAGGTAATAAGCTTTACAACTCTTTCCACCACAATGAAAAGCACAAATATTCTTACTAAAACTGAATACTGAAGGGAATGGATTTGGTGAAATAAAAAAGTTAGAAAGTTATCCATTTTATTGAGTCAAAGACCCATGTCTGTATATTTTAAAGTGGAGAGGGGGAGAGATTTAAGTTCGTGAAAACACAAAAAGGAAGTGGCATAGTAAGAGAAAGATCCATATCAAATGACAGGAAAGAACTCGAATTGAATTAATATCAATCTCATTGTAATTTTATTCTGATAACATTACATTGAAATAGTTTTATCTCCAAATAAAATCATCATAAGAACAGTGATGAGGAGAAAATTTTGAATTCTAAAACAATTCACCATAAGGCTTTAGAACTGGAACTGGTTCTTTCCATTTCCCATGCTACATATCTTTGATGATAAACAACTATTTCTAGATTCTGATTGATTGTCTAATATTCATACATGTGCGTTAATATCGCCGGAGAGCCATATAAATAAGCTATAATTTTAGGAGATCTACTCATAATGATCAGGGCTTCTTGTTTCCAGGTCAGTATTCCTAGAGAAGACCCATATACTATAACCTCAAAGATACCACATTGTGCATATAACCTGAAATCAATATAGTACACACAGTAGAAATATACAAGCATAAAGTGGAAAATGCGCACAAACCAAAATAATGTAGTGATTTACCTGCACCATAGGTCCAATTACCGTAATTGGAGCATGGATCATAGTCCAAAAGGCATGTCTCGAACCATTCAGCTCCCATTCTCCAGTCAATATTCATGTCTCGTACAAGAAAGGAACATACAATCTGCAGGAAAAAATAGGTTAAAAGTTTACCTTGCTGAAAAACTCTAGAGAACTGTTTATCTGAATTTTGCTTAGCCCTCATAATAGATTTGGAAGCGAGAAATTCACAAACTACAACCTGTTCAGTTCCTTTCTTAGAAAAATTAAAAATTTACCCAAGTTTACCTGTCGCCCACGATTTGACATGAATCCAGTAGTCAATAGTTCTTTCATGTTTGCATCAATGAGAGGATACCTAAAAAAGATGGGAATTCTAGACACATCAACATGTACCTTTGAAAAAAAAGTTACAGAGCTCTATCAAGTATCACTTGTTCCTTCACTTTCATGAGGGTTAACGCAAAAGGGGAATTCAGGATCAAATGAAATAACAAGAATTATAATGGTTCAAAGTCTCTGGCAAAATACCCTGTCTGACCGTTTCTCCATGCTTCAAACAATGTCTGATTCTGGCTCCAGTTAGTCTCCACTTTTCGAGGACCACCTGATACAGAAAGGCATAAACTAAAATTAGGAAATCAGTTACCCGAAGTGATAGTATAAAAGCCTTCCTCTATTCTGAATAAAGCATTACACATGCTGATCTTAACATACTAATATTTTAAATTGAACACTGGAATTAACTGAACCCAGTGTTCCAGAAAGCAACCTTATTTTTCGAACCCTTTCATGGCACCTGCTATCCCCAGGTTATTATTAAAAACTAGATCAATTTAGCTGACTTGCAGTGTGAACTGCTAAAGTTTGCCTAGAGAAATTGAAGGAAATGACTACTGTCCTCTGCTCATTTATGAAAAGGCCACTTTTAACAGTTATTATAAAAGTGACCACTTCTGATATAAAGTTCCAAAATACCTTTAATATTGATTCACGCAAGACAGTTCATATTGCTGCGAAGATAGATAACTGTTGCAAAGTCTGATTGTTGGGCAACTATGTGCCTAGCATTCTGCATTTCCAGACAGTTCAGTGTTCCAAGACAGTTTGAACTGTATCGAAGGAAGAGAACTATAACGAAGGCTTATTCTCAGCCAACTAGGTGTCCAGCATTCTACAGTTCTAGACAATTCGGAGTGTATAAGACAGTTTGACTGTCTCAGAGGAAGAGAAGTGTTGGGAATGCTGATTGTCTTGTGGGTAATAGAATGTTCCTTAATAGCTTGTCTTAGAAGCTTGAACTTTTTTCTCAAAAATTATGCACTTGCCAACCATGGCCTATATGACATTGTAGATTTAAAAGGGGTCATTTGTTCAATATTGTCTCCTATAAAGTGGCTATTTTGAAGAAAAAAATACACTTGCCCACAACATTTCAAACTCTAAATTAGCAAATACAGCTATTTGTTCATCTTCAAAGGATTAAATGTTACTTCATTCTTATACCTGCATGAAAGATAGAGTTCCCCTGCTTGATTGATAGAAATCTAAAGTAATCCCTCCATATCAATTCGAACAAAACCCTGAAAGACAAAGTATTGTTTCAGAGATAGATTGTGATAAAGTTTTACAGCCTCAACAAATATATAGTACATCGAAATTGTAAGGTTTTGGAATTTTATCTATTGATATTTTCTAGCATACAATAACAAAGAGTGACAGGAATATCAACTGTCAGTGTAAGAATCAAGTTATAATTATTACTTCCACTTCTTTAAAGAGTACCAAAAAAGCAAAGCTGAACTAGTCAGATGGGAAATCAATACTTATACTGCATTATCGGATCCTCAATTTGAATCAAACGGCAGTCGATACTCAAGGGAAAAAATTATATTTTGATGGAATAGAGAGAATATATTTACTATAATCAAAATCCACTCTTTGGATAAGATGGTATGCATACACCGCAACACATGAACACAAATGAAGATATATCAGCATGTGCTATCATTTTAGTTTTTTTATATGCATATGTGCCTATCTACATACACGTTTCACAACCAAATACACGTGGACAGAGTAACAGAAAAAGAAATTACCAGTAAGTTGAATCATTTGATTCTCGCTCCCTTTCAAATCTCTTCACCTAAACAAGTTAAGTTCAAAAAACCAGTCTTCATTGACATAATAATATAGCTAATGCGAAATTTGAAGAAAACAAAATGCATCTTTGTACCTCTTCATAAATAAAACGGGGTGAAAGGCTTCCAGAGGCAATCCAAGGAGAAAATTTTGTGGAGTAATCAGGTCCTAACATTCCATTACGGGTTTCTTTGTAGGTCCTCAATAGATTCTACAGAAGGCAAAAGAAAAAAAAAATTGCACAATTTGAGTATCTTAAATTGAAACAACAAAATCATTTTCTCATGACCTGGTGCTGATACTTTCTGTTCAAACCAATTTGCAGATTTGTCCCTGGGTTTTTTCAAGAATTGGGTTACCTTTAAGAAGATAGTTTTTATTAATTTTCTTTGATCTCTCTAGTAAATCCATTTTTCTTCCAGGCAGGCAAAGGAGTCGAGAACTGTCTCCAGAAATTCTTTAACCTATTTTACATGAAATCTTTTCCGTCATTAAAATACTTGTATGTGATTTAAACCTTGCCTTTTGTCTCCCTTTTAAGTATTTGAACTCATTTCCAAAGCTGTTTATTATTATTCATAAGCACGAACCATTGTTAGCCACCAATACTGACTCCTCATTGTATTTTGCAATAAACACATGGCCTTATCAGATAAAACTGCCATACTTCACAACAGTTTTAAGTGAATCAAAGAAGCCTCTAAAGAAATTCTTTATACTTGGAAAAAGAGTTCATAACACAGTTAGATGTTTCGGAAGTATAAATAAAATGCATGGAGCAGAAATCCCCAATTGAAAAAATGAGAAGAGAAACATAAAACATAACTCCAACATGTCCTAATTAATACATCATGGGTAACAGGATATAAATCTAAGAAAAAGTCCCTTGCCTTACTCCAGAAATACTCGCATACTCTACTCACTGCTGCACTTTCACCTCCCACAAATGCCATTCCTTTGCTAACCTGCATCAAGTGAGGTATGTTTCACTTTATATTTGATATTTGCAAAGGACTTCTTATATTGATGTATGAAAGAAAATTGCCTTTGCTTTCTCTAGTCCAAGAACAGTAATTTCAGGTATACATCCCCAATCCCTTATGCTGGGCGCTGGACCGAGTGATGTCGGGATCTTTATGCAACTTCTTATTTTGGACTTGGATTCAACTAACTGTGAATTTGATAATCAGAGATCTAGCTCTTCTGATGGGCAAAATATATGATCTCAAACCTATAAGAAGAAAATTACTACCTTACGAAACTGAGTATACACGTCTGGTAAAGAGTTGCAATTGAATGGAAGATCATCTATATGGTACATACTAGACCCCCAGATCAATTCCAATTTAGTGCTATTTTTAGAATTTGGCTTAGCAGATTGACCTTCGGATGATGATAGCACAACTTTCTGCAAACTTTTGGAAACTAATCTTTCAACATTCAGCTCCTCACTGCATGTTTCTTTCTGGGCATAAACCTATTCCATGCAGAGCTTTTTTTATTATTTACTGTTGAAAAAAATAAATTGTATAACTGATATCACTAGAAACAAATTCAGGTAAATGTCTTTACAGTGTGGACTCCGTATGCTTTAGCAAGTGAAGGAAGAATTTCTTCAGGTTTCCCATGTTGAATTAATAGGTCTAGACCACACTTCATCAAATTCTTTCTCAAGTCAGCTAAACACTCAATAAGAAATTGTGCCCTCAGGCCTGCAAAAGAAAAATGCTTGTATCCAATTCTTCTAAGAGAAAAAGTAGACAAGATTAAGACTAATCGAGAATTCAGAAAATAACACCCCAAGTAAACATATATAGTGCCCCAATTTGCCTCCCACAAGATCATGAAAATTCATAATTAATTGAGGTGCAACTTCAAGAACTTGACTGAGTAACAGCCCATGTAGTTTGTTTATATTTTGTTATTCAAGCATCACTAAATATATACCTTAGTTGCTACACACAAATCCATAGACATGCTTGCATGAAATTTTTTTAATACTTCCCTTTCCAATTTATCTCTCTAACCATGCTCTATAACCTGGTTTCATACATGAGCAAAGTATATACTTTTCAGATTTCGAGTTTCAGAAAAAAGGGTACATTCTATTTTGCCCTTTTGGGTCTATTAATTTTGTACCACCAATCCTGTCAGCATATGAAGGGATATTAATGTCCTTATGCAAACGTCAAGATTATCCTTGTGCTTGTGATCTGGGAATATGGGGTATTAAAAGGTCACGCTATCAAAGGCATAGCGTCCTGGGCACTTCCCAGGACATTGCCATTATCCTTGGTGTCGTACACCTCTCGTGAGAACAAGCGCACCATCCTTGAATAATCATCCTGTTCATTCACAAAAAGCAAACCAGTACCACACAGGTTGCTTGCTTTGTAATGCCAACATTGAATATGATCAGTAGTCTGCTCACAAGTTTCATGCATAACCAGCAAAAGTTAGCCTCAAGTCAATTTGTCTACAGATTTTCGTACTTAATATAGAACCTAGATCGGTATCCAACAAATTCCAAACTTCAGATGTTGTGGACTCCGTACGGAGCTTGTCAACAGAAACATATAAATTTGGAGAGCTGTTTAGGCTAGTGGCTACTGGATCCACATTTAATTTCCTAGTACAGATTATTGGCATGCAGGAATTAATCAACACCTCAGATCATGAAAGCACAACTTTGACCAACTTGATTTGCTGGAGAATAAACTTGTGATTCCATTGGGAAAGCAAGATTGGTCGAATAAGCCCATAACCGACCTTTCCAAAGGTCAATCTGCCTCGGGAAACACGCATTCCCATCCTCGAAGAGAATGATAGTTGGATCCATTCTTGTGATCCTTATCAGAGTATTATTTCCAAATGCTTGTCATCACTATGTGATAGATTCGACAGTTTTGCTTTTAGCATCTTCCCACCAAAGCCAACCCTTTCCTCCGCAGATGAGGACACGCTTCTTTTAGGAAATTCTCTAGTCACATCTGTGAACACTCCTCTCTCCACTAAGATCATTTCAAAGGAAACCTGAGGTTACTTTCAAAACATAATGCTTCCCATTTCAGCTTTCTGATACCAAATGCAATTGCTTCAGAACAAAGGTCTGCTTAGGTTGGACCCATCGTCGATCTCCTCCATGTTTGTTTATTGAGTAAACAAATCGAATTCAGTCAATACAGCAGAGCCCATTTACCTAACAAATCATGCCTCGGATTGTTCTCACTACCTGTTCTGAACATGATATTGTTCATATTCCAAACTTTTTTATACATTGGGAACCTTGTGACCAACAATAATTTCCTCATTTATTGCAATCCCTAGAATAATAGTGTTAGTTAAAAGATTGTTTAAAATATTAATCCAAATTTATTTATTTTCTTTGAAAATCGTATATGGCAAACCCAGTTTCAACTTCCATGGATATAAACAGTTTTAAAAGCACTATTAGTCACACAATCACTGCCTTGTTTCACTTTGATACTAAAACTTTCCTTTTCAAATTAATCCCTCATCTTTAATTTTTGTTTAGTTATAGCAATCTAGCTCAATCTACTAAATTAACAGGAATACTGACCTCGCTAACAGAAAAATATGTCAATGACATGAAGAAAACAGATACAGAGGGAAAATTCGTAAAGGAAGAAAACTGAAAGTATAGTACCTCCAGTTTTAGGGAAACCAAAGTAACGGGTAGTCGAAAAAAGCCTTGGATCAACACAATACACAGGCAAAACAGCCTCTGATGAAACCCAGGCCTTAAACAAAGCCTCATTATCCAATACCCTCAAATCATTTCTGAACCAAACAATGGCCACACCTTTGCCTTTCCTCTTGGGCAATGATTCAGTAGTGTATCTCCGAAATGTCTGTTCAGCTATTCGGTCAATTTCTTCATAACTGAAACCGGGCACCTGATGCACCGTTGTTTCAGCACGGATTGGATTGGAAAATTGCATTGTATTATTGGTTGAGAATTTGTGAAGAAAAAGTGTGAATGTTGTTAAGGGAAGAGCTTTTATGGGACGTGAATTTGTGCAGAGAGAATGGAGCATGGTTGAAAGGAGGTTCTTGCTTTTCCGAGTAATGAGGAGTTGGAAAAGCGACGCGTGGGCTTGATGGAGGTGTCATGGCGTGGCAACTTCTGATCCACCATTATTCAGTAATAGCCATGAGGACACCAACGTCTCTCTCATAGAGAGATGGTGGCATGGCATTATTTCAAGTAAAACCAGTGGGGCAAATATTTTTCAACCTTATAAGTTAACTAATGCCCNGAGCCAAATTATTGTAGAATGATAATGAAAAATATAGCCGTTATTGGGGCCACATAAGAGATAGAAAATTTGAATTTAAATGTTGATGTGATGGATAACGGTCATATTTTTCATTTTAATGAGATAATAATATAGATCAAACGAGGGCTAAATATCATTTTATCCGAATAGTCTTTAAGATTCACAAGTTTTATCTAGCCATTGTTTGATCCACCATTATTTTTTAAAGTATATTTTTCTCAGTCTTATTTTCAATCACAAAATCTTCAATAAAATAATATTGTATGCAAATTCAATTTTTTTTTTATTTTTTAATCACGTATTCTTCGTCAAACTACTATTGCAAAATGCATTTTTAACTAAAAATGGGTTCAAACACACGCTTTAATTATACATTTCTTGAAATTCATTACATATAAATACTTAAAAACTTGGACAAGCAAGCTCTACGTCACTTGTCACATGTCTATTATAAATTTAAAAATTAGTATTAATTATGTGGATAGTTGTCTTGATAATACGATATTACTAAGCTAGAAACTAGAAAGTATTAGTTCTACATGCAATTTTATTTCTACATCACTTTCTAAACATCTTAATTCCTCAACATTTTGGGAAAAGTTTATAAAAGGTTTAAATAATGATATTTAGAAATGAGTGAAAAATAAGTGAATAATAGTTGTGAATTCTCGAAATATGAATAAAAAGTGGCTTAGTGTTTAAAACCCCGAGCCAAACATAAGCTTAATCATCTATTTATAATAGGTAATATTAGTTTGACGGATTTTCGCCCCTTTTGTCATTTTATTCTACTTGTCACATGTATATCACAAAGTTCATTAAATCGACTAACTTTATAAGTTTGGTAGCCATTTATGCTATAAAAATGTTCAATAACTAAAGTGACACGTCTTGAAATAGTTATCAAGAAGCCAATGTCACCACCCAACTTAGTTGAGAAGAGGATCCAAAAGAGAATCTAAAACTAGGAGAAGGAGATTAGATAATTTCCTTTCTTTGTAGTAGGTATTTGGAATAGCGGCAGGGGCGGACCTACTTGAGAAACAGTGGGGGCCGCCACCCCCATTCAATTTTCAGATTTTCCGATTTTTCTTCAAATTTACAGTTTTTATTTTTTTTGGTCCAGAATTTTTTAGATTTTCAGATTTTTTTTCAAGGTTTTTTGGTTTTACCCCCACTGAACTTCCTTCCTGGGTTCGCCCCTGAATAGCGGGACGTATCTTGTTTAGATTGACTAGTACTTATCAGATAGTATATTAAAAAATGACATGAATGTTATAAATTATATTTATATGTGTTGTAGATGAGAGTCTCGAAAACTAGACCATGTTTTATGATAAACTATTTGAAAAACGTGTGATACACATGATTTTGTGATTGGAAATCTGAATTATTATGATTTGTATATTAATTAAGAAAATAGTTTTGACATAACAATACAATTGATTTGATACAAATTTAATAGGTTTTATAAACATCGTAAATTATTTTACTCGACCATTTGTAGAAGTTATGGTTTTTGTCTGACCATAGGTCCATAGCACTTGGTTTGTAATTAACTCTAAGTGCATTAGTTCATTTTTATTTAGAAAAATTATCGACGTAATATTACTATAATCATATTTGACTTGTGGGATAAAATGGATACTCTAAAGTAGTGCTATGATATTTCATATCGATTCCTTTGGATTTTCAGGAAAAACTCTAAACAGCAGACCACAATACCAACAATGAACACCATTCAAGCAACAAATTTAAAACGTACCTAAAGAATTAACCTTACAATCTAAGTATACACAAATATGCTAAAAGCAACACATGTTATGGAACTAAATGTATTCTAATGATATAAACCAAATTAATGTAATTTATGAAGTTGAACTGATATGGCTTGCAAAGATTTTCAATCTTTAAGTTTGACTATAAATTACGTTGAATAAGGCAAGGCAACTCGTGAGATCTCCCTTCAGCGAAGCAAAAGGGTTGAAATTATTGTTCAAAATCAATGAATAGACTTTGGAATGAAAAGAGGATTTGGAGGCTAAAACTTTGGCCTATACGACTGCATAGGCTTTTGTAGCCTGCGGTCACATAAAGACATGCAGGGTATATCCCTGCAAATGATTAACCTATGTGACCGTATAGGTTTGTAGAACTGAAAAATAAACGCTTTTTCCATGCATGAAAAATAAACAAGATTAAAAAAAAAAGCGTTTAACAAGATTAACGCTTTTGACCCTTTGAATAGTTAAACGCTTTTTCTATGCATGAAAAATAAACAAGATTAAAAAATAATAATAATAAACAATAAAATTATACTCTCAAGTTTGAAGGAAAAATCCATATCTTAAGGGAAATGGCAATTCCGTTTGCGAAAATAGATGATTTCCTTGTCCTGGAATTTGTTCATAGCTTCCCAATAATGTTTACTCATATGGCTTCGCTTAAACTCTATACAAGAAACAACTGTAGACCTCAATTTTCTGCATGTATGATGTAGCTAATAGATTCCGACTCCAATCACGTCCACGCATATGGCTCTTGCTCACTTGGACAAGCCATTAGAAGCACGTGACTTTTTTCGAAATTGGGGAAGTGACCGCAAACACTCGAACGGTTAAATCAACAACTTGTATAAGTATATTTGGATATGGGACTTGTGAAGTTCGGGCACCGAGATTTTATGAGAGAGTAAAATGAGATAGCAATATTACTATTAGGAGTGTAAAATTGCATTACTTTCAAATCACACTAATTTTGAGTTTTTATCATGAAAAAGGTGGATTGATTATCGTTTGATGAAGAGACAAATGACCTCATTTGGACAATCGAGGCGCCAGTCGTAGATGTCATTGCATCAATTCTAGGCTTAGGGACATTAATGAAGAAAAAGTATTCACCTTATGTCTAGGCTTGACGTGTGAAGAGTAGACTGATAAGCTGATTTGACAGGATAAATATTGTAGAGAGTTCATATCAATCATTCATGGAAGATCTTGTATGGAAGACCTTCTAGGGAAGGTGTCTTATAGCCTGTCGCTTTCGATTGGTGCAACAACGTGTCGCTTTGTCTCACTTCGTCCATTGAGGGTTCGACCTCTACATGAGAGTCAACAATGCATCACTTTGACTATTGAATGGCTTCAGATAAGCCAGGTAAAATAATGGTTGGAGTGTGAGCTTGAGTTTGTTTATGACGTAGCTGTCAAGTGGTCATTTCTTGGAACCTCATTGAATAAGGCATAATAACAACTTATGTTATTTCTGTTTGCTATGAAAGTACAAATTACAAGTGTACGGATCGCATTCAAATAATAAATTGAACTTTTTTTTGAGTTTGAGTTGTCGATCACTCAAGAAATATTTACTTTTGATTACAGAACTTTCATTAATTTAATTCTAACAATAAAAAGAAACTCACATAATAATTAAAATTATGATTTGAAAATAATGGAAAATAAACTAAAACTCTATAAAGTAAGAAGATATAAACACTCGGAAAATCTTGAAGAAAAAACGTGATTGAGATTCATGATTTCGCTTAACTGTCGTCTAATTAATTTCTGCACAAGCCATTTAACAAATTACTCATTAATGATGTTAGACTCGATTTTCACCTTTAATTAATTACCTATTTCGAAAGAAATTAATCCCAATTAAATGGTTTAATCTACTATATCTTTATGTTGATTAAAACCAAATAATCACATTAAATCTTTGTGAAAATAGTTCAACGGGTCACCTAGAGTTATGAGTTATCTCTATCCAATACAAGAACCTAGGGTATTTATTATTTGGTTTAAAATATACAATCTTCTCTCAAATGATTTACGAATCACTAAACTCAATCATTTAATAGTCAAATAAATGAAGGACATTCGAAACAATAATAAATATACATGAAAATAAATATTTTAACGTTAAAAAGTAAATATTAAAATTAATTAAAGTTATGTTAAACTATTACCATAAATCACAACACAAATATTTAACCCATATTAAATATATGATGAAAAAAGATAATATTTTATACAATACATCGCAAATAGAATATAATAATGAAGAAAATACAAGATTTAAGATACAACCCCTTTTTGTTGAACTTTTGAAGATGTTAGAAGCTCAAACTTGATTTTTTCAAAATCTCTCTACCGCATTAATGTATTTTTCTTGTACTCTTGGTATTTCCCCAAAAATTATAAGTAAAAGAAAATGAAAGGAAAGGAAAGGAAATGAAAATGAAAATGAAAAGAAAAAAATGAAGAAGACTTGACCCGACCTGACCGGGTTGGGTCGATTTTTTGGTGTTTTTAGGTGGGTTTCAGGTATTGGGTTATGCTACTGGGTCGAGTTGGGTCGGGTTGTGGGTTAAGCAAGACAACTCGGTAGAATCCACACCGACCCAACCCGACCAACATAAAAAATTGAAAAAAAAAAGCGACTAAATATAAAAGGGAAAGAAGCCCTAGAATTTTCAGTCAGTCTTCTTTTCTTCTTCACTCTCCACTCCCGCCGCACAGCACAAAAAGCCCTAATCTTTCTCAGTTTCTCGTCGAGTCATTTTCTCTCAACTTGTGGGGTGGGTTTTGATCGACTCAAAGGTAAATCTATTCTGTCACTTACCTGATTCAGTTCAGGATTGGAATCATCACGCACGGGCA